GCATACTGTTGGTGACCCTTAACAATGACACTCTCATCTCTGTGTGACTTCCGTTGACACCTTTATATCAGTCTACACTGCAGCCTACCTGTGGTTCATTGAGGCGTGCATCTAGCCCTGCGCTTATAACCAGGGTGTCCCATTGGCTAATGTCCAATGTCCAATGAGTTTGTCACTGATTGTGCGTGCATGTAACTCTCAGGGAGAGGATGAATGGATCCCCGCATGAACCTGAATGTGCAACACATTATTTTGATTGTTGCATCCCGATAATTTAATAACACTATGCCTGAAGTTGGCTGTAAAATGTATACGATTTGAAAGCCAACGAAAGCAAAGTGGGGAAGGACCAAGAATTTGGGGTTAAAAACAAAGGGATACAAGTGAGGCTGGAACTAGACGATAACTGTGAACAAGCGTAAGAGGTGGAATAATAAGATGGGAAGGCTTGCGCAGTTGCATCCAAGTCCCTATCCACCCTGCTCGATGAAGCAGGTAAAGCATCACTGTAGTGTCCAAGGCATCAAGAAATTGTCTGACGGTGAAGCCTGCGGCTTATGCAACTTCGTAATGGCTGGGGGTATTAGGTCACCAAGGCAAATGACTTGCAGCGTTATAATACGTTTCTTCCCACATTGTGTTGTATGTTATGAATATGTACAAGAGAAGGATGTCTTTTGAGTTGATATGTACTTTTCAATCCGCCACCAATTGATGTGGCATGTAAGATGCTCGGCTGAAGGCCATGTTTGAAGAGCAGTAGGGGAGTCAAGCGTTTGCACTTAACTGGTGCACGGCCAAGTGATGTTAAGTATATTGGTTTTCTCCAAGATGTATATGTCGTATAGTTTGTGAGCTGTGCGTATGGAGCTGTCTGAGCAGGAGGCGAAGCGTGGCATCCTACATATTCCATGAATTGGAGTTGAAGCATTCCTGGATTTCATCAGTTCGGCTGGTAAATCGGGTTGGTATGAGCATATAGGGAATGAAGACAATGAATGTAAAGATTTTATAACTTCGTTATGTTTTTCTGTGCAATCATTACTGAGAAGCTCGACGGCTACCAAGCACTAACTCGAGGGCATCACTTCGCTGCCCTGTATCTAATCTACTAGAAGAACCAGGTCACACTCCACTTGATTATCCCCGCTTTAAAGCCGCCGTGGGTGGAGTTTGCAGATCTCACGTGCCCTGTTTCTCTTTGACAGCATAAATGTGAATACGACTTATTTGATCTTGTCATTATTGACGGCAATTCCTAGTAGGGGTTTATGGGATTAAAGGGAAGATAAAGACACAGGTGCCCGTCTTATTCGACTTTTGTAATGTGCTAAGTCGGTGGATGTTAAAATGATCTACTTAGTGTTTCCGCATGCCTTAGCTTCATTCCCTTGTATCGATCTTGCATTATCTTTTGGAGGTGTTAGAGTATTGATGGACCGTTGCCGATTGTTTAGAGTTTCTTCGCATACTGGTACCGGCAATTCACCAGCTCATTAGATCGATCCAGAGACTAATCTCGAGTCCCGTGCCGTTTTGTTTTGAAACCCTGAAACGGGCTATCGGATGGGCAATTCTTTCCAGCTTCAACAAGGTTTATAGACTTCAGAACTCTAGCTGCTTTCCCGATCTTTCGCACAAATGAGAAAGTGACCTTAAACTATCTTCATGGTCCAGTTTCAACGATTTTAATTTATGCTCAACTTAGTCATACCATTATGCATTGGCAACTGGCAACCTAACTCTGAGTAGCGTCAAAGTATAGACTGTGAGTGTTGCTGGCGCACAAATAAGCTTTGGTTCAGGGGAAGGACTAAACGCGCACCGCATGAATAAGTGCAAGCCAACTAAGATACACTGGAGCTAGTTTGATTCCCCAACTGGATCGAAATTAGTGGAAAGACGCATACTCCATGCAGCTGATAGCAAACTGTTTATTTTTAAAGCAGGATATGTTTTCCTTATATGATTAAATCCGAATGGTGTAGCAATTCGCAATGTAAAAAGACAAGCAATCCATGTATCTGAGAAGTAATAAAATAAACTACTCGCTAGTGAGCCATTCGCATCATCAGTGATGATCGCTATTCTCTTTTGAGTATACTTGTTGGGAATGACTCATGGACAGAATGTGTCTATGACAGCTTTCATTCTGTGGTCAGTGAAGAAATGCAGATTATAGCATCCTAACTGCACGGCGTCACCGAAGTGGAACATTACATGTACGGCCGCTCACTGGGACTTAACCGACTGGACAACTTCATTGCTAACGCTGAATTATAACTGTACTTCGTATCAACCAATATGCTTGGTGATTTGGCATCACTAGAGTTGAGTAATGGATAGGCAGGATAGGATCTGAACCAGAATAAAGAAGATATGTTGAAACCCCGTCCATCTTGTGCTTTTTTGGAGACAACATACCTCTGTTTCAAGACAGTTAAATATCCCATACGAAACGCGTTAATCGGTCTGCTAAGCAATGGCCGCAAGGTCAGAAATTATCCCCTACTGGCCGGTCACGAAAGAATAGGTACAGGACTTAAGAGGGTGGGTGTGAAGGAAAGAGAAATACCGTACCTAATTTCGTCGTTTAACGACGCTCTGTCAATGTTTCCGATATGGTGGCTTGTCCAAGGCATCCCACTAACCGGTAAAAATTTACCGTGGATCCTAAAGATTGGCTACTGGATATATAGCAGAAGCGCCACCACAAAGCCACTCATGGTTCTAAGTAGATTGGTTGATCGAGGCCATAAAGTTTTAAGCCCATTGTTATGACTTTTGTTCACAATGTGTGCTACACTCGCGATCACAGTCAGATATTGGTGCGTTTTGACTTGCTCAAACATTATCATTCACGGGCCAACGCGCATAGTTTGGACGTTAGCACATCAACAAGAGCACACACGCTGAACAACGTTTAACCACAACCTGTGGCGCTCATCTCGCTCACTTTTATGCCCATCATACAGCCTGTAATCTCTTGTATCCCATGGTTGGATTTTAAGAAGAGGAGCCCGCTAAATGTACACTACACTTTGAATAGAATGTGGTAACGAAGTTCGCTTCGATCTTAACCATTCACATATCTGATGGGATTGGAACGTGCAATTGGCCATTCTTCGCACCACACGTTGGTCCGGTCTGACTGTGGCGAATTTGGACGGTAAATTCATTTAAAGAGAGGGATTCACTTTAACCGCAACGCTGGGTATGTAACCAGTTCCACTCCGGTACGGGCAGTTTCGCGTGACATGTCGGGGAGCTGTACGTAGCGGGATCTAACCACTGTCCGACTTTCTAAGGTGGATTGGATGGTCCAAGGTACTGACTCGCACCGGCAAACAGATTTGTCAAAATAACATTATGGTAAGCCCACTTTCTTTCTGTCAGAGTTGGTGCATTGCGATGATGTTGATCTTACTAAATCCCAAAGCATCAATTATTTGCTGGTTGAAAACGCACATTGGAGCTTACGCAATTTTAGTAGGCCATGGTTGAAGCCCAAAAAGCTGGCAAAGGTGATGAAACTCGGTTGGCGTTGTCGCGATGCTCAAGTTTCATTTTATGGAGACTGTGTTTTGAAAATTCTCACCGGCCATTTCTCATTACACGCGCAGAAATTATTTATAGTCAAAGCTGCTACCCTTAGTTACTTATCCTATTGGAACTCGTCTAGTGTCTGGTTAGGTGAGCACCCGCACTACAACTTAATGGCTTCGAGAACTGCCCTTTCACTACTTCAGTTAACTAGTGTTATGTTTGTATATCTGCCGTGTTTCTCACGGTCTCATGCTTCCAGCTGCACTATTACTACCAATCTAATCAATTACTCCATGTAAGAATTAGATTATCATCTAAATCAAGAAAAACGTCGTAGTACTGTGACGCTGTTCAAAGAGGCAAACACTTGTTGAAACAGGCTTAGGACACTGTTCTAGCCGATGTTCTGTCATTTCCTAAAGACTTACTGTTTGACACCGCATTGACCATGATTATCAGTTCGGAGAGTACATGGCCTCAAATGCTCTTTGACTGGCAACAACGCTCAAGAAACCTATATTATGCTGGCACGGAAACCGCCCATGTATCATCTGTCCGCTTTATTTTGACAAAAGCCTCTCTGTGTGTGTGTAATGCATGCACATATATTGTGCGTGAATGAGGTAACCACATCAACAACGCTGCGTATTTAACAAAGGCGTGTGCTGCATACAAATGGCTTATTTCAGCTAGACAGCAGCGAGTTCTCCAAATCGATCAGACACAAGAAGCTGTTCCTAATGCATTCAGTCCATAAAGCTAATGTTGGTCAAGAGATGTACGACTTTGCATGAACAAAGTAGACAACGAGCAGTGCTTAGCGTGCAGAACACATCTACATGCACAGAAATCTAACGAGAGAAAAAGCAAAGAATGACTAGTACTCTAAAACCCGACAATCAATGAACAACGCCTAGCCACCGATGTGTACCAAATGCGCCACTCTGAAGCAACGGTTTTGAAACCGCCAAGAGTCGAAGAAAGTGTCAGTTTTCATTCTAATGTTCCACACGTTTCCAGCTGTTCACTTTATCCTTTGTCTGTCGCTGACTCGGCATAGAAAGAAGGCACTTCTCTAACTACTAATCCGGTTCGTAAGAACTAGCATTATATTCTAAACAAGCATGAATGAAAGGTTGAAACTACAGTTTAGCGAAGACCCATCAGTTCCGTGCATGCTGGAAGAAACAAGTTCGCAAACTTGTCATATGTAAATCATGTTACGAAGTGACAAGAAGTGAGCTAATAAATGGCTACTTTTATTTTGAAAGCTTCAGCCGAGGTGGTGTGCGTGTAAGTACGGCTGTTGAAAGAAGAGACTCACAGTTAAAGTTGGCTGCAGATGATAAAGCATATTACAATGTTATCGGGTAAATCGGGGTCACATCTTGGGTACAGCTGCGAGATTTGAATGTCGCTCATTTTCCGCTTTTCTAGCACCCACCACCGCAACTTTAAGAGTTAGGTGTACGCCACAACAAACAAATGTTTGGTTCGTATTTGAACTGCATCGACATGAGTGGTTCGTGTGAGTAGTTCATCCAATATGATCCGTTGAGAACAACCACCTGCCACACGCGTCCATACTTGCTGTCAAGGAAAGCTTTCAGATCCCGAGCCACATTTTGCAGTTCCTCAGATTTTCCACCGGTTTTCTCCACTAGTTCCACGAACTTGTTTGTGATTTCCACCTGCTTGCTCAGGGACATAGTGCTGGCAATTATTTGTACACCATCTTTCAATGTTGGGGCAGTGCCACTTCTCTGCGCTGTCCTCTCTTCGCGTTCGGCTCGCCTGTAGAAGTTAAAACCCAAAAGGAGGGCATATAATTAACTGGTTGACAAAACAGACCATAGAAAAAGCACTATGTAGCACAGGTAAAGCGGTAGGCACTTGGACGCAGAATCTTGCTGTAACTATAAGTGCACGCTGAGTTGAGTGAAAATGAAAAGTTCGTTAACCAAATACTGTTTCCCATTCGACACACAATTTAGTTTTATCATCTGTCATGTACAATTTATGTGGACAATTTTTATGGAATCAATAAAAATACAGCAGCAAACTTGCATTTCGTTGAGACGCAAACCGAGTCCTCGACAAAATTCGTTTAGTGACAGCTTTCCGTCGTTATCGTAGTCATATCGGTTCATCCATTCCTGAAAATGAAATAAGAAGTTTGAGTGAATATTTCCATTTGTGCTAATGTACTTCATTCCGAACGTAATATGAGAGTGTATAACCATCATTCATCAAATAACATTGAAAGGTATACCGTATGTGGTGCTCACATCGACTTCATTCTCTTTGAGCCCAGCTTTTGAACAAGCCGCATACAATTCATTGCGATCAATTTTTTCGTCTTTATTGGTATCAAGTTCGAGGAACTTTTCAATCATCAGTTCTAAAGGTGACGGAGTCTGAGCCATGGTTGTGGTGCTTTTCTCCAGTGGTTTGAGCGCTTTTGAGTCCGCGGTTATTTCTTATACTTCCGGCAACGCTCGATAAATCAAATGTCGAAGCGTGGTGCTTGTACTCAGCAAGTAACCACGCGCCTCCAACCGGAGGCCGTGTGTGTGTGTGTGTGTGTGTGTGTGTGTGTGCTACACCTACGGGTCCATTGGCTATTCCGTGGTGGCCCTTCATCGGTGTGTCGTGCCGACTGTGTGCATTTTGTTTGTGCTCTAGTGATGTAACGTTTGCTGCGCTCTGCGCAATCAGGAGTATAGACTGCCTACATGTCTCTGAAATTAGGAGTGCGGAAGAACATAGCAAATGGCGGAGCACTATCTTTAGTTCAGCTTAGTAACATCAGCAGATGAAGAACTATGCAGAGAATTGATTGATGCATCTCTTGGCCCACAACGCGAAATCCGAAGTGGCATTTTCAACGCTAATTCTCAAGCAAGGGGCCGAGGTCATGCCATCATTAGTAAACAGGAGTATTTTAGTTCAGTCACGAGGAGAAGGAGAACTACGGTTCCCGGTATCTCATTAGTGGCCCTCTCCCAAACGTGGCAAAAGTAAAATATGACTTGGAACTTATTTTGTGCATTCCAGCACTTTTCCTCCAGTGATTAGGAGACAGTTGGGACTAAATATGCTCTATAGACTATCCGTAACTACCGGTTCCGATCAAGTAAGGATGCACTGCTCGAGAACCCCAACGGCCTAGTTGTCAGTGCGTCCGTCATTAGCCGCTCAGTGCTTGGTTCTGGTCGCAGATCCACCTATCTTGACCTGGACAACGCCCAAATACGGTTGAAGCCGGCTGGCGATCACTCTTCACCTGACGCGAAGTCCAAGTGATCGAAAAGACCGGTGTCCATTTCAAAGCAAATGGGAGTGTAAACTGTGATTGAGAATCGCAATTCAAAATGTACTACGGATACCCCAAGACTAAACAACGCTACCGCGTATGTAACATCTTAAAATATGCTTGGAGCCCATTGAGAACTTAAGATTTTAGTATGGTCTGAAAACAGTCGGTTGCCAACCAATAGTACAGTGTAGTTCAAATTCAGGGATGACTAAAAATATTACAAAGAGATGACCGATCTGTCCTCTTGATGATCAATACCTACACAATTAGGTAGAAATTCGTCACATTTAGACTCGCTCACACAGTCGGCACACGCCCGAAAAAGCACCGTACGCGCGTTTCATCCATTAGAGAATCGTCAGCAGTGCGCATGCCATCTGACTCTGGTAGGGCTGGAACCAGAAACTCGACTTGCCAGTCCGTGGTTGAGACCACTGAGCTATGGGGGACGGCAACGACCATCGTGATTAAGTTACTAGAGGTGATATAGTGCCGCTCAGTATCCACTGGTTTACGCATTACTGCCGTGCAGAGGACATGGTATTCCCTTCACCAAGCGACGAGCTTACCAAACTAAAGCCGCCAATTAACTTATGGCATTAAAACTAGTTTGGTCTGCGTACTGATTACAGAAGAGTAGTAACGTGTAAGTCAGTGGATAGCGAACGGCGCTATATCACATCTAGTAACTTATTCACGATGGTCGTTACCGTCCCCCGTATCTCAGTAGTCTCAACCACGGACTGGCAAGTCGAGTTTCAGGTTCGAGCCCTACCAGAGTCAGATGGCATGCGCACTGCTGACGATTCCCTAATGAATGAAACTCGCGTACGGTGCTATTCCGGGCGTGTGCCGACTGTCTGAGTGAGTCTAGATGTGACGAATTTCTGCCTATACTATTCAACTCCCCATACTACTCTTCTGTAACCTAGACAGTTGAAGGTTTGGGTCTAGGATACCTGTAGAGCATGCATTCAGTTGCAAGATAGACTGTGATTTAGTTTGCTGGAGTTATCTACTCCATTGTGGTAAACCGTCCGCAATCAGAACCACTCAAATTCATCGTTTTTGCTTGCTATCAAACGGAAACCCAGTCGAATATCAGCGCTAACTTGCACATCCGCCCACCCCTCTCCTCATATGCAACATCGGCCTTAGTTGTGAGCATGATTAATGGTGGGTTATCAACGTAAGCCTTAGAAACTTTGTTGTTTGTTCTTACTCAGCAAGCATGCCCGTTTCCGTAATGAAAGATGTTGGGTACGGTCGACTGGTGCATGTAACCAAGGAAATTCTACTGTGAGAATGGAATCCCGTTAGCTGGCTAACTGACATCTGTGTTAGGTGCTCATTGTTGCACCATAAGAAATAAAACCCCGCTCTTCTGGAAAGTTGAAGCACTACTTTTTCCGGGCACTGTGGCATCATTTTTGATTCAAGTGGGTAACGGTCGGACTGCCAAGAATATGGCGAAAGCTATGACAGTCTCAGAAACTATAAGGTCCGCGAGCATGTTCACCTAGTTATCACTTCAGCACATCCTTACGCAGTTGCATCTTCCATCCGGGGATCATCAGCGATGCACGCGCCTTTCCGACACAATAACGGATAACAGTTGGTATCCTTGAGGCTGAAATGGCTTACAATGCAAATAGATGTCTAGCTATCTGACATAGGAAATTGCACCCAATAGCTATTTGTTCTTTTACATGGACGTGGGTCAGACAATAATAGCTAAGCAGGAAGTTCGTATTATGTGTATCTACATAAAGACGACGGCAGCCGAAATTCCCAATTATTTGCCAGCCTGTTCCCTTGTCGCTCAACGTCGAAACGAATAGCATGTCACTTATCAACCGTTATATAATGCGTCTATATAAAATGATTACCTGCATAAGCCAGTTTGTAGTGGAATCCACCAGTGTCCAATATGCTCTTTATACCAACGGGAACCGACATCAGGCATTTGTCAGCAAATATGGAGTTTCATTTCGCTTTCTGACAGCCTGGTGGTTGAGCAGTTACTTGGCCACTCGATCTGACTTCCTCGGTGCAGATGATGATATGAGTTCGGCTTTCTAAGCCTAAGCTCTGACTTCAAAATTCACAAAGTATCCGGGAATCAGATAAAAACATAAAAGAAAAAAGGGAAAATATATAATGATGATTGATCGATCGATCGAGCGGACGAATGCGTTTTCAAACACCCGGCTACTTGGGCTTTTGCCTCAGAGTTGAGAGGACAGTGTTTTCGGCGGCATTTTCTGGCTACGTTGGCAGAGTTTTTGTTAACACGTTTTCGTGGTCAAGACTGTTGGAGTTTTGATTTTTCTTCGGCTGGGCTAGAATTTTTTGCGGAGAAATTTCTGGGCAGTTAATTCGGAATAGCGAAAAAAAGTGAAGATCTAACACAAAGCATGAAGGGCATCAAACAGATCAATAAATTTAACTCCATCGCCATATTATTTTCTGCAAGTAAAAAGAGAGACGCGAATAAAACAATACTGTTTATGATATTCCCTTCTCTGTCAGCTTCGTGAAAGCGCTCCTAGCCGGACAGAAAGCTAGTCTACTCGCAGGGTCGCAGTAACTGCAGCTCTACAGCCTCACAGCGTTTGACAGTTTCACCAGGTATTTGGACCCCTTCAGTTTCCAGTGACTTAATCCACTCCTCGTTATATTAACTATTCAAATGTGATATATTTGGCCTGTTGATGAATCACCGAAAACGAGTTTGTTTGCTACTCCGTCCTTTCATGACATTACGTCACACCGTACACTTCTCATCCAGCCGATTCACAAACGGTTAACAGGCAAAAAATGATAAAGACTGGTTTGAACCAGGTGCTCACCTGGTCACTCGAGTCTGAGCATGTAGTTAATAAGATGCTACACTCAGGTTAAATATGATAATTGGTAAGCTATCAAAAGGGTAGGTGCTAGTCCGAGGTTAATGCAGACCCAACCAGTAAAAACCGGTGAATGAAAATGTTGCACCCCATAGGAAAACTGAACTAGCGTAGTTGTACAGTGACCAAAGTATTAGGGCGGTAGTAATGCAGTGAGAAGCAGAATTAGAGCGGCGATTGTCAAGGGCTAGGGAACTGATATCACATCAGATTTGAAAACTCACTAGTGGTTTATCCAACAATGAATAATAACGCATGTTCTAATTAATTTAGGATTCCAAAGCTTGTGAATGGTTCCTACAATAAAACCTTAGGGCAGAAAGAAGTTTCTCTTGCCTGAGGAGCTTACTTGACCGACCGTTTTCTCACCCAGCTACCTGAGCAAGTACGTTTGTGAGAACTATGACTAGCTGATTGGTTGTGTCGATTCGGATCTTAAACATTCACGTACAAATCCGGAAAAGCGAACGAATAAATGTCAACGGGGTTTTATTTCGTCTGACTTAATAAACAAAGTCTATGTGATAATACTGACTGATTGCCGCACTCGTCTACAGTGCAACACCGTAACACTTCAATTTTTCGCGCTATGGAATCGATTGCTCCAGTCTATCAGAAGCTCGGCTTTGATCTGGGCATTTACAATGCAACTAAAACAGTACTTAACTGATAAAGATATTAAAGAACTTTTTCGCGTTAGTTACACTGAAGAATGGGCGTTTGAGAACGGGCTTCATAATATGTGTGCAACACAGTAATAACAAACAAAATGATGGTAGGCCTCACAGACCTACACGCACATGGGTGCAACCCCTAGCACTAGCCACAAGCCACTCATTAACACCCATTATTAATAAACTGGAAACATTACAATCCGAACAGAAACGTTGTTATAGACTTCCGCATCCCCGCACCTTGGTATACTACGAATGTAAGTACTTTTTTAGACTATCGTATTCCACCAAGTCCTCCTCCACAAATTCAGCCGCTATCACATGCCATTATAGAACTGAGAATAAACCAATTATTGGAGTACATAGTCCATTCAAGTCAGCACGCTGTAGAGCTCAGTGTGCCTCAGCTACCACACGACAATGTTATTAGATACATTAACTAAAGAACAAACCTTACCCATCCTTAATATTCCAATGTAGCAATATCTTTCAATTCTGTCGTCATGAACATTCGTTCTCTTTTC